TTTTTTAAATAATTCAGTTGAAGCATAGTTGAAAAGCAATATCTGACTTTCATTGGTTAAGATTTATAGAATTTTTATTTATTATTACTTTTGTCAGATTAAAGTTATTTCTGTGACCATTGTGAGATTTTCTTTCATTGACCAAAGGGTACCAACAATTTTTTCCATGTCTGTATACCAGTTGCTGATGTTTACTTTCCTTTTGTCATTTATGTTGGAAGTGATAACAGAGCTGTTAATTTGGTTCACAAATCCCTCAGTCAGAACATTTATTATATTTAGATGGAAGCAAGCGAGTTAACTCCTTGGTAACTTCTAACTTAGTTAAATGTCATAAATTCCGTGTTCATGGATGTTAAACTTAATTGTTACACCTGGTAGAACAGCCACACTCATCTTTTTATTGATGGTGAAAGAATTCAGACAGTTTTTCAGCTCTCAGTAAGGCTGCAGTGGTCATTTGACTTTGGGACCTGCACCAGAGTTTGGGCCCAGACATGGCTAATGACATCAGACATAAAGACTGGATAGTGCTGGGTCTACCAAGTCATAACCAGGTCACTAATAGGCAAGTTAATTAATACAGTTGATACACTTTAAAAAACAAAAACAGGTTAGCTGAACGAAAGCACTTATACTGCGGACAACCAATACATGTCATCGTCCCAAAAAACATGGCCGCTCCAACGGCTTCAAAATAGTTTTAAACAACAAAGATTTAATGAATAACAAAAAAAAAAAATTGTAGTTATTCTCAAGTATGTTTTTTGTGTAGTGGAGATCATTTGTAACATATTTTGAGTAACTTGTCATAATAGTCGGGTTTCCTTTTAATGAAAGCAGGTTGAGAACCTGACCTGGTAAACTAACTGAATAATGACCTCATTGAATTAAGATAAGATAAGATAAGATAACCTTTATTAGTCCCACACGTGGGAAATTTGTTTTGTCACAGCAGGAAGTGGACAGTGCAAAAGTTATGAGGCAAAAATTAAATGAAACAGAATTGAGCTGTTTCTGTGGAATGACTCGTTCTGAAAACTGATGAGTACATACCATAAATATACATTTTTAAATATAAACAATGTTTTACAAGTATTTCACAGACAAATGAACAATTACAAACAAGTCATTAATAGCGATGGGTATCAAAACCCAGTTCTTGTTGAGAACTGGTTACCACTGTATCAATTCCTTGGAATTGTTTGCCATTTTTGCAAACGATTCCATTATTGATTCCAGTCGCCCCGAATGACGTCACCATGTTGCGGAGCGTCATTTACCTGGCAGGAATCACCGCGCCTAAGCGGCTCAAACGCTCAAAAGTTTGGTTATACTTTACGAGAACGGATGACAACAGGGCAACTTGCAATACTTGCAAAGTAGATATTTCATTTAGAAATAGTTAGCTAGTTTAGTGTTTTCTGTTAATTTATGTTGTAAATTTATGTTGCATGTAGCACCTTGGTTCCTGGAGGAACGTTGTTTCGCCTCACTGTGTACTGTTAAACTGTATATGGTTGAAGTGACAATAAAGCCAACTTGACTTGACTTGGCTCTCTAATATGCAAAGAGGCCATTGCCAAAAACTGTGGATGACCAATTCAGGGCTGCCCAATCCCGGTCCTCGAGAGCTACTATCCTGCAGCTTTTAGATGCATCCCTACTCCAACACAGCTGAATCAAATGGTTTGATTACCTCTTCAGCATGCCATCGTGTTTGGCAAAGGCCTGATAACAAGCCATTCATTTGATTCGGGTGTGTGGGAACAAGGATGCATCTAAAAGCTGCAGGACGGTAGCTCTCGAGGACCGGGATTGGGCACCCCTGTCTTAAATGAATGTCGTGTTTTAATTCCGCTCCGGACTCGTGAATCTCAACCCAGCAGCAGCGGTAACGTTTGCACGTCCTCTCCCGTTAATGCGGCAGGTAAATAATCAACTAACAGTGCATATTATGTTAGCGCGATCTGCCTTATTACAAAACCTGCCATTACTGTGCATTTAGGTGACCATGATGAGAGAGACAGAGTCTGGCTCAGATGCTGGCAGTTCTCGCTGCAGTCTACCGGTAGCGTCTCCTTTCAGGCCAGGATAGACGAATGTCACCGAGCAGTGACTAAGTTTGTGGTAAAAGGCTTGCACCCATTTGCCACAGCAGATGCCCCCGATTTTCGGTAAGTGAATGTGTTTAATTGTAGGCAGGGACATTACTGGATATTCTTGTGTAATTGCTACAGAATAATTTATGTTATACTTTGTTATTGCTACAGAAGAATATTTATTTTATTATTTTACATTTACAATTTTTTTTCCTGGGGACCCTGTGACACCCCATTGAAGAGCCGTAGGCTGTGGATCTCTTAAGATCTCACTGTTGGGTTTGTAAGGCCATGTTACTCCTAAATTTCTATCTTGTTCAAAGAGAAGATATAAAACAAAGTTCTAAGCTAATCGACCTTAGTGTTCTCCTTTTTTAAAAAGAATCGATAAGAGAATCGATAAAGAATCGAATCGTTAAACAGAATCGAAAATGGAATCGGAATCGTGAAAATCTTATCAATACCCATCCCTAGTCATTAAGATATTCTAGTTGCTTTACGAAATTTTTCTTCAGCAGTGATCCGTCTCTCATTTGGGAAAGACAGGCAAAATGTCAGTGTGTACAGAATTAGATATTATTATTAATAATAATCAAAATAATTACAGATTAATGTCTGTAGAATAATGTTGGCAATTTTTCTTTGTCACCTTTGATGAAGAACCAATGTTTCTGACTACAGGTGCTGAGATGCTGCTCCAGCAGACTCTTCGCCTCCTGCCAGTCACCTGCGACAGCAAAAAGATTTTTATTTTTTAATCCAGCTAAAATTATTGTAGGGCACTACTGCAGACCATTGTATTGTGTAGCATTATTGTGCCTCATAGGTTCAGCACCAACATCAGAATCAGAAAAACCTTATTAATCCCAGAGGGAAACTAAGTTGTCATAGCAGCAAATATACAACAAACAACATGCACTCACTGAGCTTACGAAGACAGGGAGCTGCTACAACAGCCTGCCGCTAGAACAGCGTCATCTTAAAAGACACATTACTGGTTGGTGATTCTGTTATTAAATGTTGAGTCTGTTGTATTCTATCCACCTCATCAAATCATAATACTCAGTACAACATCTTCATTTGAAGGAAAACAAATAGCTGAACACAAATGATTAAAAAAAAAAAACAAGGTCCTGCTGGAAGCTCCAAGCAGACAAAATGACAGGGGCTGAACGGAACGTACAGCCGAAAACAAAATTAGCTAAGAGAGAGAAACCCTGTAGACAGTTATCGAGTGAGGCAACTAATATGATTATAATGTACTCACCCTCGACCCCCTCTCAGAATAACCCGAACTAAAGATACCCCAGCGGAGAAGGCCGGCTTTGTAGTTGGACTAGGACTAGTAAAGACAGCTGGCTCACTCTCCTCCCATGTTAATGGCTACCTTGCAAAGAGACCAAGCTGTCCGAGCTACGAGAGCGTATATGTTTCCAATTACGCATGAGAAACAGAAACGTGATCTGCCGGAGACCAGAGGGGCAGCAGTAAGGAAGCTCAGTACAGCCCACACAATATTTGCCTCAGTCGGCTTGAAAAAAACCTCAAACTCCTTGATAACAAGTATGATGACTGTGGTTACACTCTTTCTTCTGAAGGCCTACTTTGTGCTCTGGGCGGGCACGCGCACTACGTCTTCTTCGTCTTTGTGGTTTGTCGGCGGTTGGCAACAAACGTTGGCAAACAAGGATGTGGTGCAATACCGCCACCAACTGGTTTGGAGTTTGTTCATGATTCGCTCATACCAAATAATAACACTAATAAAAAAAATAAAAATAAAAATAAATAGATGAATACTACCGCATATATACATCCTCGTATCCTTCCATACAAATTAGCCTGTTTTAGAAACAGGCTAATAAAGCCCCCAAAAACTTTCACATCTGGATTTCCTTTTCAAAAATCCTTTATATCTTGCTTAATCTTGTTTTCCCCCTGGTTTTAAATTATATAACTTCTTTCTTCCTGATCTATTTCAGAGTGCAACAGAACATGTTCTATGTTTGTCATTTATTCCACAGCGACTACATTTCCCCCCTTGATGTATCCCTGTAATGAATAGTTTACAGTTTAACCCAGTGTGTCCAAAAATGAATCTCCTCTCTCCTGGTGCTCTCTGTACTTCTTATGTGTCCTGTTTTCCTTTGAATAGAATAAAACCACCCCCTTGTCCTCTCCTCCTCCCACCGCTACCATCTTTTCCTCATTTTCTGTGAATTATCATGCTCTCCATTTCTGCTTTGCTAATACTGATATTTAAATGTATCTGATCTCCTTTAACAGTATGTTTTGCAATTTTATCTGCCAATTTTATCAGCTTTGTTATTATTTTTATAATTATGTATTATACTGACAATTTCATTCACACAGCATTCTATATAAAACAGCAAGTATATGTAAACTATCAATTCCTTTCTGCTTAGGCGATTGTGGCTCAAGAGTTGGGAGTTTGTCTTGTAATCAGAAGGTTGCCGGTTCGAGCCCCGGCTTGGACAGTCTCTGGTCGTTGTGTCCTTGGGCAAGACACTTCACCCGTTGCCTACTGGTGGTGGTCAGAGGGCCCGGTGGCGCCAGTGTCTGGCAGCCTCGCCTCTGTCAGTGCGCCCCAGGGTAGCTGTGGCTACTAATGTAGCTTGCTATCGCCAGTGTGTGAATGTGTGCGTGAATGGGTGAATGACTGAATGTAGTGTAAAGCGCTTTGGGGTCCTTAGGGACTAGAAAAGCGCTATACAAATGCAGGTCATTTACCATTTACCATCAGATGATATCAGCTCAGCACATAAGCAAATCACAGAAGAATGGGGCATAACTGAGAAGGTGATTGCAGTTGTCACAGACAATGGTGCAAATATAGCTGCTGCAGTTCATAAAGCTGGATGGAGGCATCATACATGTTTTGCACACACACTGAATTTAGTTGTAAAAGACAGTGTCAAAGCTGTCCCAGAAGTGGTGCAGGTGCTGGAAAAATGCAGTCGTGTCCTTTTTTCACCACAGCACAAAGAAGCTCAAGGATATTCAGCAGTTGAAAATTTCAGAACACAAGCTAATTCAGTCAGTAGATACCTGCTGGAACTCTGTCTTTTACATGTTGGAGTGGATCTGTGTGCAAAATAAAGCCGTGACCACAGCCTAGCTTTTAGGGAAGAATGCATTGTGCTTAAATGTGGGAAAATTATCCCTGATTAAGGAAACAGTTGATGAAGAAGTAACACAGGAAGTTTAATCTGAAAAACATGTTTAAGTCTCCAAAATTATTCCACTTGTGTCACTCTCATGCTCCCACTCTAACTGTAAGCTCAACACCTACTGTTGGTTCTGTCTCAGGGCCTTCTACTTCAGGGTCTATCCCGAGTCCTCCACCCGAAGGTCCTGCTGCAACAAAAGGACAGATTTTGACATGCAGGTTGTGTCAAGCCAACATCACCTGTCAGCTTTCAGTGATGTACTAATTAAAATACGCCGGTACTCAGAGGAAAACCTAATTCCCTGAAATAAAGATCCATTGGTTTGGTGGCAAGAGCATGAACAAGCCTTCCCATCCCTAAGCAGACTTGCAGTGAGATACCTAGGAATTGTTGCTTCTTCTGTACCTAAAGAGAGAATCTTTTCAAAAGCAGGAGAGGATGTGAGCAAAAAACGGAGCAGATTTAAAGGGAAAACTGTAAATATGCTTTTGTTCCTAAACAAAAACCTGTGAATAAGGGAATGTGTTACTGTCAAATGTTTTTGCTGAAATGTAAAGCCAAGATAAACGTTAAATGACATGTTTAATTATTTTGAAGGGGAGAATCTTTGGTTGCCAGTCTTGAAGAACACCAGCGCATATCCACACATGAAAGATGGAGGGTCCAGATACTTATTTTACACTTAATGGAGCACTGTGGGGAGTATTTCTTGTATATAAACTATATCAGCTATAAGGTTGTTCGTGGTTTGTGTGTGTTGTACGCACACATGCACACACATACACACAGACACACACTCTTCATTTTCATGACTATTTACATTGTAAATGCTCACTAACTGAAAAACATAGAAGTAGGCATTAAAATTTACTGCCTAATTTACTGACCTCTACATTGGAGAGACCAAACAGCCACTTCACAAGCGCATGGCACAACATAGAAGAGCCACCTCCACAGGACAAGACTCAG